TGTTAAAATTTGGTGTTTCCAAGTATTTACCAAAGAGCTATCAAAGTTATACTGAAACAATTTTGGAAAGGCATGGCTTTAAAAAAAAAAAAAAGTGTGTGTACACACATACACACACACACACACATATATATATACACACTTCCTACTTGTAAAACTCCTAAATTAAATTCTAGGATATAAGTCAGACAAAATTTTACCTAAAAGTTCTAACAGAGTTATCTTTTCAATATTTTCTTACTAAAGGGATGGCTATAATTGAAATCTGGACATTTCATTAATTTTCTTTGGAAAACTAGAATCTCACCACAGACCAGATTTTCCTAGCATCCCATCCCCCTCCCCCAAACACATACATAATGCACATCTATGTTACTTTGCCCTCCAACACCTCCATATGCTTCTCTCTGGGAGGAGGTTCTTGAAGTTGGAAGCAGCCTATTGTGTGGACACTGTGATGTGGATGGACACTCCAGCCCTTACAAAAAAAGCACTATGGCCTTATCTGTCAGGAAGGCACATACCTCTAAGTTCAAAGAGAAATATTAGAGCTAAATGTACTCCCCTCTCTCTGCACTAAAGTGTATGTTGCCCATTTCCACCGCACACTTGGTCTTTGCTGCTTCCACTCTAGAATTTCGTTAGCAGGGAAGGCAGCAATCCTCAGAATGCTTGGAATTGGGGATCTACTCAAGTGTGTGTGCTCTGTCCCTTTGAGAGGCTATGCAACACATCTGTGATGCTGCTTTACATATTTAGAGGCCGTCCCTCAAATCAGCTGTGGATTTTGTCTCCTGCACTGCCAATATGCAACTGATCCTGCTTTTGTTAATTTTATGAAGTTCACAGAATTTTTACACAATGTAGTATTTTGATATCATTAAATAATTCCAAACAGAAAACTCCTTGGGCAGTAGTTGTTTTGTTGTCGGTTTTAGTTAAAATCATCTTTACCCGTTAAGAGTTATATTAACGTTCCTTTTATAAAACAAGTTGTATATGTCCACCTAAATTCTGTTGTCCACATTTAACCTTTAGAGATGTGCATTGGGAGAATATCAGAAAATAGAGTTCATGGCTAAGATTATGTAAAATGGAAAAGCACAGCAAACTGCATTGCACTTAAATACATAAAGCAAATCTAGTAGGAAAAAAGCACTTTTCTAAATGCTCAAATGTTATCAAAATACTATATTTATAGAAGTAATCCTCTCTGTTAACAGCCCAGATTTGCTGTTAGAAGTAACTCTTGTGAGTTTTATATTGTGCTTTTTGGGGGTTCTAATCATTTCAGCAGTAGTATATTTTAAACAGCAGTATTACTATAAGCAGTGTGCTTCAGAATGTGAATTAACTTGTTGAAACTGTGGCTTTAACATCTATGTGATTAGTGTATATGGTATTTGCTCTCCATTAGCAGAAGAATTCATTATAAACTTCACTAGTGCAGATTGCAGTTGTGTGAGCAATGTTTCCTATTGGGTATAAACTACTGTCTAAAATATACATATCGTGCAGCAGCTCAGCCTTTATCAGGAAAATTATTTGGCAAGTTGCTGAAAGGGCACAGAGTTATGAAAGTTAAAGGTATGCTGCAAATAACTAGCCATTATTCTGTGTTATTAAAATATTTACCAGCTCTGTTAAAAGCAGAGCAGAAATTAGACACTAAGGATCTCTTTGTGAATTCTTTGTTCTCTATAGTAGATTGCTGTTTATATGTAAGAATTTTATTGCTTATGTGGCATACAATATTTATAACTATATACTTTATAGAAGTACAGTATTAAAGTCAGTGGTATACAAACATTCTGTACATATCCTGTGAAATGTGCTGTCATATGAAATAAATATACCTGTCTTTACCGTGTTGACTGCTTTGCTCAAGAGGGAAGAATTTTTCTAAGCCATTTTCCTTGAACTTTTTTATATACAAGTTTAATGATATCTGGGAATTAACTCATATTGTCAAGTCAGGTATTTTGATTCAAGACCGTTTCATCCATTTCACTTCTCTATATAATACTCTAAGATATTCTGAGACTACAAATCCTCATTTAAGAAGTCCATGCATGTACTCTGTCAGGCCCTCATTCAAAGTCTTGTTGGCTTGAAAACAACACTGAAGGAGGAATGATGATTCTCTAACCCACAGCAAAAGAAACAAGTGGGGGTAGAAAGGAAAGCCAAGAACAGCCAGACATAGGACACTGACCTAAGAAACCCAAAAGCCAAGGCCAAGGCCAGTAGATCCCTCGAGTATTGCCTTTATGCAGCACTACATGATTGCTATTCAGAACAGAAACCCTGTTTTGTTTTCTTTTTTAAAAAAAGACTTTATTTTAGAGGGAGAGCATGAGTGGGGAAGGGGCAGAAGGGGAGGGAAACTCAAGCACAGTCCCTGCAGGGCTTGATCCCAAAACCCTCAGATCATGACCTGAGCCAAAACCAAGAGTCGGACACTTAACGAACTGAGCCACCCAGGCACCCCCAACCTTGATCCTTAAGCCACTGGATTATGTTCATTAACCTCTAAGAAGTTATAGAGAGTAACAGGCTTTTTAAAGGAACTTTGCATTTTAAGATGATTGAGATATCTATATATGCAGTTGTAAGAAATATTAGAGAGATTCCATGTACCCTTTACACAGTTCCCCACAGTGGTAATATTTTACAAAACTATAGTATAACCAGGATGTGAACATTGATACAAAACATTCCCATCACTGGGAAGATCCTTGTGTTGCCCTTTTCCTGCTGCCTTCCCATCACATCCCATCTCCCCTCCCTTGTCCTTAGCCACCAATCTATTCTCCATTTCTATAATTCTGCCACTTGAAGAGCATTATATAGATGGAATCGTGGTAGATGACCTTTTGGGAGTAACTTTTTCTACTCAGCATAATTCTTTGGAGATTCCTCTAGACTGCATGTGTCAATGGTACATTCCCCCCCCCCTTTTTTTTTAATATTTTATTTATTTGAGAGCACAAGCAGAAGGAGAGAAAATCCCAAGCAGTCTCTGTGCTGAGTGGGAAGCTTGATTCCAGGACCCGGAGATACGACCTGAGCCAAAATCAACAGTCAGACCCTTAACCTACTGAGCCACCTACGTGCCCTTCGTCTATTCCTTTTTATTGCCAAGTGGTATCTCATGGTATGGATGTACCACGGCTGGTTTAACCGTTCACCCACCCACTGAAGGCTATCTGGGTTGTCCCCGGTTTGGGACTGCTATAAATAAAGCGGCTACGAACATTCCTGTACAGGTTTTTGGTGTGAACGTTAGTTCACTGTCAACCAGGTTTTGAGCAGTAGGTTTGATGGATACAGAATGGGACTCAGGATAAACAGGGGGATGACCTTATGGCCAGTAGTGAGGAACTCAGATGCCGCAGCAGGCCCCCTTCCCCCCCTGGGGAGAGAGACCTTGGCCATTGGTCTCTCCGCACTGCACGTTCCAGGACATGAAAACGCCTCTGCTCCCCGGGCCCCATCCGCTGTCTGTGCAGCATCACTGTAGCCCTCTTCATGGGAGGCCCTGGGTTGGCTTTGGGCATTTCCAGGCCCACGGTCACACACCATCTGCGCGGCACGGCCTACCCCCCGACCTCAGGGATGACGTTTCCACGGCGAGCGCCCGAGTCTCAGGGACACAAAGCAGCAGGTGCAAAGCAGCAGGTGCAACCTTCCAGTCCATTCCTATTCGGCAGCCGCTGTAGGAGATAACCTCGCACCTTGTTATCAAGGGCTCGGTGCAAGCGTCCTCCCCGACGGGGCCCTCCATGTCTAAAGAGCCAGTCGCCCTATTTGGTTTCCTCTAGACTCCTATGAGAATTGGCCTTGTCCCCGTATTCTGTTTTCTCTTTGTCACTTCCCCTGGACTGTGAGCTCCAGGACCGCAGCGACGCCTGGAACAGCGCCCGCTCAGTAGGGACCTGTTGGGCGACGGCTGGCTGACAGTCTGGGGACGGCCGCCGCGGCGGCAGCCGCCCGAGCCCCCCAGCACCGGGCTCCGAGACAGCCCCCGCCCAGGGCCGCCGGCACGGCCTCCCGCCCCTCGGCGCGCATACCCAGCAACCCCCGCGCGCACTTCCCGAACTCCTCCAGACCGGAAGCCGCGGGCAGCACTTCCGGAAGTGGTGGGGGCTGACGGCGGAGGCAGTGCTGCGCGGACGGGGTCGGGGCTCGCTGCGGAGCTCGGGACCCGGAGGCGCTCACCGCCCCACTCACTCCCGACCTAGCAGCCTCCTCCCGTCGCAGCCAGCTCCCTGCGTGGAACCTCGGGCGGGACGTTCCGCGTCCCCCTCCGGCGGCTTGCGTTGTGTTGGGCGGTTGCCCAGACAACAGGCACTTCCGGAAGGGGGACTCGGCGTCGACCTGTGTGGATCGTTGCCAGGCAGCACCTGTTTCCGGGAGCGCGACGCGGGACCTCGCGCCCTGCGGCCTCCCCACCGTCGGCTTCAGACCGGAGCCGGGGGGGGGGCCCCTCTGTGTTTCTCTGTTGCTCCTGGCAACAGCCACTTCCGGGAGCGAGTACGCCCCCCTCCCCCCCCGGCCGCGTCCCTTCCCCGCGGGCGCGCGAGCCCCGGGTTCCGGTCTCAGCAGCGGTTAGTCGGTGGTCGCGGGTCACCCTCGGGTTACGGCCTCCCGGGCCTCCTCGCCGCCGCGGCGGGGTCTCCGGGGCCGCCATGGTTCTGCTGCACGTGAAACGGGGCGACGAGAGCCAGTTCCTGCTGCAGACGCCGGGGAGCGCGAAGCTGGAGGAGATCACGGTGCGGGTGGCCCAGGTCTACAACGCGCGGCTCAAGGTGCAGCGCATCTGCTCAGGTGCGGCCCGGCGCGGAGAGTGGGCGGCGGGGACCCCGAGCCCGAGCCCGAGCCCGGGGCGGCGGGGGGGCGGGCACAGGACCCTCGGGCGGGCGGGGCGGCGGGGGGGGGCGGGATGTCAGGTTTGCAAAGATTTGCAAAGACGTGCGGCTGGCGGGCTTGGAAAGGATCGCCGGGGTCCCCCCGAGGTGCCCGAGGAGCCCGCGGGGCGCTGGGGGAGAGGAGGAGGCTGGGCAGAGCGCGTGCGCGGGGACTGCGCGGGCGGGCAGGGGCGGCGGCCCCCGGGCCTTTTCACCTGCGGCGCGCCTGCGCGTCTCAATCCCTTAGGCAGGCGTCGGACTGGATCTCAGCTCAGGTCCTGACCTCGGGGCTTTGAGTTCAAACCCTGCCCTGGGCTCCACGCTGGGTGTGGGGCCTACTTGAAAAAGCCTGAATGCACCGGGTTGAGACTTCAGTGGAGCACGACCTCCCTTCAGGACGCTGCCCCCCAGGGTGGGAAGACCGGCCCAGGGCTTGGTGTTCCCTGCCCTTCTCCAGGAAACCCGAGCTTTTTTTCTCATTATTACAGCATTTGGTCACTTCCGTCCATGATCTAGAGCAGCGCCGTCTGGAGACTCCCCCCCCTCCCCCCCGGGAGGGGGGTGATCCCTACTTGTGTGTCCAGTAAAGGCACCCACTTGGCACGTGTGGCCGCTGAGCACGACCCCAGGAACTGCGTTTTTAATTGCATTTCTTTTTCATTTAGGTTTTATTTATTTATTGGAGAGGGAGGGAGCGAGCAAGAGCAGGGGGTGGGGCGGAGGGAGAAGCCGCCGCCCCGCTGAGCCGGGAGCTGGGCATGGGGCTCCATCCCAGGGCCCTGGGATCAGGACCTGAGCTGAAGGCAGATGCCCAGCTGACCTGGCCCCGCGGGCGCCCCCGATTTTAATTTTAATCTTTTTTTTTTTTTTTAAGATTTTGTTTATTTATTCATAGAGACACAGCTAGAGAGAGGGAGGCAGAGACACAGGCAGAGGGAGAAGCAGGCTCCATGCAGGGAGCCTGACGTAGGACTCGATCCCGGGTCTCCAGGATCACACCCTGGGCTGCAGGCGGCGCTAAACCGCTGAGCCACCCGGGCTGCCCCGATTTTGACTTAAATAAAAAAGTTGTGTGCCGGCTGGTAGCTACCACAGTAGGCAGCACAGTACTTGACAGGACGGTACACTCCAGATGTGATCTAGGATGTTACTGAGTGTTTCTAGAACTCTGTGATTTTTGTGCCCTGGAGAACTCCTTAAGGGTCTTGGTGTCTACCTTTATGAGGCAGACACATAGTTTCTTGGTGAAATTTACTGATACCAAAACAAGCTCAATATTACATGTTTTTTTTTTTCTTAAAGCATTTGGGGGAGAAAAGGGACTCCAATTTCTTTTTCTATAAAATCATCAGTTAAAAATGTGCCAGATGTTGTCATGCTAGTGACTCCTTCATGTGTTCTGCAGCCCCCATTGTCAACTGCGGTTCACGCAGGCCCCAGTGCTCTGCCTGCCAGAGACCAGCCCCTTCCCCAGATACTTAGAGTCTTGGCAGGGAGAGAGACGGTAAAGACCCCGTAAAGTTAACACCGTTTGTTTTGTAGTACTGTATTATTACACGCCATCTGGTGTCCTCTACAGCGCTGTGGGAAGACCTAGATCTGTGTGCTTTTCTACAGGAAGGAAGGAAGTGCACGCAATTTTGCAAGGTTAAAATGTGGATTAGGCGGTGCCCTGGTGGTGGCTCAGTCTATTAAGCATCTGCCTGCCGGCTCAGGTCACAATCTCAGGACCCTGGGATCAAGCTCTGCATCAGGTTCCCTGCTCAGCGGGGGACCCTGCTTTTCCCTCTCCCTCTGCCCCTGTTTGTGTGCTCTCTTGCTTGCTTACTTTGTCTCTCAAATAAATATTTTTGAAAATAAAATGTGGATTAGTTTTGGGGTAAATATATATAGGATAGGAAAAGTATAAAGCCATGCTTTTGAATACTGAACATGATACTAGAAAACCAAAGTCTTGTCCCAGAGCCAATTTGGAAGGGCTGTGAACTGCCTTAAGTCCTCCCCACTAATCAGATTTACCCAATTTTTTTATTTTTATTTATTTTTTTATTTTATTTTTTAATCTACGATAGTCACACAGAGAGAGAGACAGGCTCCATGCACCGGGAGCCCGACGTGGGACTCGATCCGGGGTCTCCAGGATCGCGCCCCGGGCCAAAGGCAGGCGCCAAACCGCTGCGCCATCCAGGGATCCCCCAAATTATTTTTTAAGTGTGTATATAAAATAGCAAGGCTGAACAAGCCTCAGATGATAGAGGTGTAAATTAGGGGAGATGAGGATGTTAATGGTTTTTCTCTCAAAAACCTACCTACCTCACACCTACCTCACAAGGTGAAATTAAATAAATCTGTGTGAACACACTTGGAAATTATAACGCCCTTTGTGGATGTGTGTTCAGAGTGTCGGTGAATTTTAATTTGTGCCTCCTGAATGCCAGGAAGTACAACCCAGCAGAGGATCAGAGCAAGGAACCTGCAGCCCTGCTGCCTGTGACCGCAGTGAGCTCCTACATTCTGGTGACCGAGGACATAGCCATGACCATTTGTCAAAGGTCAAGGACAGGTCTGGCACAAACCAAGTGGTATCTAATGTTAAATAGGGCAAGACTGGTGACCTCTAGGGAGCTTACATTTCATTGGGGTACACAGTGTTGTGATGATGATCATGATACATACTGTCTTTTTCTTATTTTTAAGAAATGGAAGAATTAGCAGAACATGGCATATTTCTCCCTCCTAATATGCAAGGACTGACCGATGACCAGATTGAAGAACTGAAATTAAGAGACGAATGGGGTGAAAAGTGTGTACCCAGTGGGGGCTCAGTATTTAAAAAGGACAACATTGGCCGAAGAAATGGGCAAGGTAATCCAGCCTGCTGTTTCTGTGGGCACAACGTGCAAGCAGCTCTTTACATTAAACACTGACCTCCGTTTTCTCTACAAACCTAGGAGATGCTGCTGCACTGGGTAGCTAAGCCCTTGTGGTGCAGTGCAAATCCAGAATGAATTGGGCGGGTAGAGGAAGCGTCTGTCTTCTTGCTTTTACTAAGACACTGCTAGCTTTTAAACATGTTAGGTGAACCACTGGAAGCTACCATTATTGTAGGTAACAAATGGTGAAAATCAGCAGTTTCATGTGGTTCAACCTAATTGCATTTGGGGGAAGTCATTGCAAATGTATTGAAGGTTCCGTTCTGTTTTGATTTTGCAGATAACGGGGTTTATTTAGAGATTCCATGAGAAAGAAGGAAATTAACGTGGGCACACGGGTCTCCCCTTGAATTGAAGGCATGCCTCTCCATGACGTAGAGCAGCTCAGTACCTGTCAGAGAATCCTGGAATTATTCCCCCTTTAGTGTGTGCTTGGTCGTGTGGAATTTCGAGGAGGAAAGATGGTAACCCATTCTGATAGCTTATCCCTTTCAACCTGTGAGAAAGCTCCATTTAGAAGACTGTAATTAATTACTGAGCAAACACTTAAGTATCTGCGGTGCTCCTAAAACACTGTTAGGAACAAAAGAAGTAGAGAAGTATCCCTACAAGGACTTTACACCCTCAAAAAATATTTTTGCAAAAAAATTTTGAAGATAATAGCAATTGTATTATTTCCGTTGAGTTTTAGCCTGGAAAATGGCTGGCTGTCTTCCACGTCTTTTTGTATGTAGGCTCCTTGTCAGTTTGGAGAGATTCTTTGCTTTATAGAAGAAATTGCATCAGTGAGAAAAATAATAGTGTCGCAGAAGAACCAGTTAATATGGTTCGTGGTTCACCTTTAAACCAGTATTGTCTTATATTAGCCATTTCTACTCTAACAGGGCTTTAGGTTTCTAGCATTTGCACTGCCTGATTAGCACTTTTATTCATTAAGAAGTTAAGCTTCGAGGGAGTCTTACCTGACTTCTCACAGCCAACTTTCCCGTGTCCCTCACCTGAATTCCATGCAGGTCCTTCTCTCATCTCCCTGCTCCCTGACCCAGCCGGGAGGGATTAGGATACTAAGAATCGTTTTAAAGTTGGCCATTTGTCTTCCTCTTCCCTGTTTTATTTTCACAGCTCCAAATGAAAAAATGAAGCAAATTTTAAAGAAGACTATAGAAGAGGCCAAAGCAATAATATCGAAGGTTAGCTTTTTAAATGATGCCCTAAAGCCTGTCGTTTGAAACACAGACTCTACTCCTGGCTTCCAGAGTTCTCCTCGGACTGGCCTTTGATTTCTGTTAAGCCTTCCAGAGGCAAGGGAGACCAGCATGCCTGGGGCGGCCCCTCGCTTTGTCTTCCCACGATGATGACACTGATGATGCCTTTGAGCACATTGAGGATCCTCCCATTCTTTCCCTCCTGGCTCCCCTGGGTGTCCTTGCTCTTGCTCTTGCTCTTGCCTTGTACATTTAGTATTTAGGAGACACAGAACTTTCTCCTTGGCCCTCCTCTCCCTCCTCTCTACTCTTCTCAGTGTTTTCCCTCCTCTGCCAGATGCATGCTTACCTCTGCGGTAACTCAGATCTGCCTCCTCCCCTGACTCCTTCCTTCCTTTGCACCTCAGTTTCCATCTGGTTCCTAGGTGGTTCTCCCTGAAAGCCCGCCAGCGGGGACTTCAATCTCAGCTCTCCTAGACTGAACAGCTCATTGATTTCCTCTCTCCTCCCCGTGTTCTGGACCGGGGAAGAAGCACTTCCTGCAGATTTCCCCCTGGTGGCAGCAGAGCCCCCGGTGCCTCAGCGTGGGTCCCTTGAGGATGCCTGTCTGACCCACTTCCTTGTCCCTCACCTCAGCCAGTTTTTTATTGCAGACCTTTCAGGCACCAGCAGGGTGGCCTGAGTTCAAGTTTGACACTAACTACTGGGATCGGCTCAGATCCCACGAGTGGTAGGACGAGGCCCCAGAAGGACCCCCCCACACACACTTAGTTCAGGCACCAGGTAGCCCACACTGCTTCCGAATTGGCCCTAAATGTGGATGTTCCCACGACCCCCGCTCTACATTCACCAATTTGCTGGAACAACTCACAGAACACACTGCAAGTACAGTACTTACTAGTACAGTTTTGTATCAAGGGTACAACTCAGAAACCGCCAGGTGGAAGAGATACTTAGGGCAAGGTCTGGAGGGGTTGGGGGCTTGCAGTTTCCCCACCCTCTCCTTCAAATATCAGTGTATTCTCCAACCAGGGAGCTCTACTGAGCTTCAATACCCAGAATTTTTATCAGACTTTCATTACATGGGCAAATTATTGGCCAGTGATTTAACTCCTCTCCAGCTCTCCCCTCCCCCAAGCGGCGGGTAGTAGTGATGGGGGTTGGATCTGGAGGTTCTAACCCTCTAATCCCAGCTTGGTCTCCCCCAGGTGGCCGGTGGCCAGCCTTTCCCTCAAAACAAGGCCCCCCATGGGTCACCTCATTAGCATAAACTCTGGTGCCTCCAAAGGGACTCATGAATAACAAGAGACATTCCTACCACTCAGGAAATCCCTGGGGATTTTGAAGCCCCTGTGCCAAGAACAGGGCCAGAGAGCAGATGTATCCTCCACTGTATCCTCTCCTGAGCTCTGCTGAGCCTGCCGCCTGCCCTCCCTGAACCAGGGCCTTCTTCACCTAAGATGAGGTTAGGCTCCTGGTGCCCCCCCTCCTTCCCAGGAGAGGCACCCTGGCCTCCATGGCCCTTCCGGCCTGAGCCCCAGCTCCCTGGCCAGCACTGGCTGTCCTGTCCCTCCACCCCTTGCAAACAGCCCACTGCTCTCCCCTGCTTCCCTCTGCTTCTGCTGGGCCTGCAGCACCCCGTTCAGTTCCCCTCTTCACCCCGTCACTCACCCCTCCTGCTCCTGCGCCACCTCCTTTCAAGGTGCTGCCTGACTCTCAGTGTGTACTGCTGAGTGTCCTGAGCCCACTCAGAGTCAGCTTTATGGTCTAGGCCGTGGTGGGTGCATGGAAGCCCCAGACTTAGACGGAGTGGCTTTGGTAGCGAGCACTGTTGGAGTCCTTTTTGTCACGCTGGCAGTACCTGGCAAGAGTCTCCTGCAAGAGCTTGTTAAATATTTACTGAATGGATTAGCCGCCTTGTGAACAATGAGGCCTGTCCTTGTCCTTTCAGAAACAAGTGGAAGCTGGAGTCTGCGTTACCATAGAGATGGTGGAAGCTGCGCTGGACCAGCTGCGAGGTGCAGTGATGATTGTTTACCCCATGGGGCTGCCTCCCTATGATCCCATCCGGAAGGAATTTGAAAATAAAGAAGACTTGTCTGGAACTCAGGTATGTGGCTCGTGGGCATTCTGTGAGGTGCATCACCGCCGATTTGACCCCTCTGGGTGTAGCGTTCTGCTCTGTATGCAGCTTCCCCCCTGCTGCGCTTTACCTTTTGCTTCATGTTATTTTCTTGTTTTTCTCATTTATTTCTTAACCTACTGGGCAGTATCCATGGCTCTGAGCCACCTTAAACAGGTGGCATATGCAGAAGCATACAAACAGCCTCATTATGCCTGTATTTAAAACCCAGCAGGATTCCAATGTTCCTTCTTGGCAGTATCCTAAAAATCCATCCACAGAGAAGGGTGCAGATGAGCTCAGATACTCTCTCCTTCCCAGAACCAGAAGTTAACTGAGTCAGGGAGTGAGTTGGCATCAAAATGAGCAACGGCAAGGGCACCTGGAGGGCTCAGTTGGTTAAATGTCTGACTCTTGATTTCAACTCAGGTCATGATCTCAGGGTTGTGAGATCGACAACTGAGTCTGCGGGATTCTCTCTCTCCCCCTCTTAAAAAAAAAAAAAAAAAAAGCAGTCTGACTTGGTGGAGGGGTTGGTTCTTCCTGTGTGGGGAGTGGGACGTGGAGGGTGGAAATGCCAGCCCCACACTGGCAGGGAGCACCAGCCAGGCTGCACACATCAGGGGTGGGATCACACACTTGGGGTGGTGTCCTGATAAACCTTAAAGCCTGTTCTTGCTGTGCCCCAGGCAGGACTGAATGTCATTCGTGAATCAGAGGCCCAACTGTGGTGGGTGGCCAAGGAGCTAAGGAGAACAAAGACGCTTTCCGACTATGTGGGCAAAAATGAAAAAACCAAAATTATCGTCAAGATTCAGCAAGTAAGTACTTGTGCTTTAACATGTCACAACTTTTTATTAATTATTTTCCAACTGATAAACATCTTCAGTAAGTCTGACTTTACCTCCTAGTTGCAAATATTTGAATCCCACTAGTCCAGGCTTAAAGTCAGACTCTTTGTGCACCAGCGAAAACTGCAAGAATCTGTGGATGGATTATTGATTGACACTGTCTGGAGTTTGTTTTGTTTTAACTGGGGGGGGGGGGGGGGAGTAGATAAGCCTTGTTGACTTCAACTGTAGAAATGGGCTATAAGTAACTAAAAATATTTCTTCAATCAAGTGGAGGCCAAGATGAAGTTCTCCAGCTGAGGACCCTGTCAGTTTCTTGAAATGAAAACTAGAGCCTAGAGGACTGATTTCGAGTTTTCAAAGTACTGATACTCTGTGAACAGGAGCATTTACGGATGTAGGTAGCCTAGAGCTGTATCTCCACAAGGCTGCTTTGGTCACAGTCACATGCTGTCATGAATCATTTCTCTATGATTTGGGGGAAACGGAATCCTCCATGATCACCCTCCGTTCCCCACTGGACCTGCAGTGGCTGCCTGGGGAATGGCCACGGCACACAGCACTGCCCGGCCTCTGGTCTCCGTCTACCATGAGGGCCCAGGGCGAGGGGCTGCTGGAGTCCAGACCCTCCCGTGCCGATCAGGATGGATCACCGTGTAGCAGTTAGCGAAGGCTTCTCCTTTGGCATGTTTAATTGTGATGTTTAACGGACATCCTTGCAGTTTAAGATGACACTTTTATTTTATTTTAAATTTTTATTTATTTATGATAGTCACAGAGAGAGAGAGAGAGAGAGAGAGAGAGAGAGGCAGAGACACAGGCAGAGGGAGAAGCAGGCTCCATGCACCGGGAGCCCGACGTGGGACTCGATCCCCGGTCCCCAGGATCGCACCCTGGGCCAAAGGCAGGCGCTAAACTGCTGCGCCACCCAGGGATCCCAAGATGACACTTTTAAAATAAAACTCCAAACGATGACTTGAGCCCTGCCACTCGATGGGAGAATCAGCAGAACCTGTAGGATCTTATTTGGAATTGACATTCTCTATTGTAATTTTGTTCCTGTTTATTTTTAAATTTTTTTTTGTTTCACTGGAAAGATGCTCAGCTTTATTTATTTATTTATTTATTTATTTATTTATTTTTAGATGCTCAGTTTTAAACGTTAAAAGTGTACAAGGTGCTTTGTTAAAATAAAACTAAATGTGTACACAAAAAAAATAAATAAAATTTCTTTTTGGGTAAAAAAAAAAAAAAAAAAAGGAATGGGCTCCGGGAAGCCTCCTGAGACTTGCCAGAAGTTCTCACTTCTCCTGAGCATTCAACAAACACCAATGGCCCACTATGTGCCAGGTGCTGTTTAAGGAGGATTAGGGACATTGTAGTGAACAGAGACACGGTCCCTTGTCTCATGAAGCTTATGATAGTGGAGGAGGATGGACAATGAATGGAGACTCAGCATAGCACTGCAGGAGGAAGTACGGAAGCCGGCAGCCCAGCCCTATTACAGATTCAGGATTCCAGCTTCGCCCGCCCTCTCTGCTGCAATCCTTCCATTGCTCTCCACTGCCGCCCTGGCACACTGCAGAGCCCTCTTCTACATCTGCTGCTCTCCGTGCTCCCATCGGCACCCTGTCCTCCGCGAAGACAGCTGGTGGGCTCCTGGGGCCTGCGCGGGGGCAGGCCTGACCTCCTTGGCCCACCCCCTCGCTGCCCACTCCCTCTTGCTTCCCTCCGACTTGGGAGACAGGTTTCCTCCCTGAAACACCACCCACTTCCCCTCCCCTCCTTGGGCAAACCTAGTCCTTCACCCCCCCCCCCCCCAGCGTGTTCCTCACCTGTTGTACGCCCTGTCCCAGACCTTTGAAAACCACCATCAAAATGCTCCCTCTAAACACAGCGCTTCACGCAGATGCTCCGTGAGCCGCTTCTCATTCTCCCAGCTCTGCTCCATTCAGCAGCATTTCTCAGCGGTGGCTCCGGAGCTCTGGCCAGAATCACCCCGCAAGGCTAAAACCCTTCCTTCTGGGGGTGCTCTCCCCGGCACCTGTACTTCCAGTGCTCACCCTCCCTCTGGGACCAGCCCCTCCTTACAGGCCTCAGCCTCATAGAGCCTCCGGTCCCCCTAGCCCCACTTTCTGACCTGCCCTTCCTGCCAGCACACCCTCTGCTTCCTCTGCTGCCCCTGACCATCACTGTGGTTTACTAAAAAAAAAGGCTTCTGGATTGCCCCTGTGAGAATGCTGTAATCCACAGTCCGCTCCACCCTCCTCTTTTCAGAGAGGACAAGGAGCTCCAGCCCGAGAACCAGTGATCAGCAGTGAGGAACAGAAACAGCTGATGCTGTACTATCAGAGAAGACAAGAGGAGCTCAAGGTATCGGGTTGGCAGAAGGTTTTCAGCGGAGCTGGCGCCAGGGGCATTCACCCCCTGGCCTTACCCAAGTGCAGGATGTGGGGAGGGGGCACTGCTACAGCTCCCAGCTCTCCAGGGCCGTGGGGACCCCACCTGGCAGCGTCCCACCTGCATCTGAGTCTGGGAGCGCCCTTCTGGGCAGGCGGGGAGTGGGAGTTTCGACACAGGTTCTTTCCTCAGCCTGTGTTTATATTGCAAAACACTTTGCAGAAATGCCTTCCTGAGTAAAACATATTTATTTCTAGAAATTGGAAGAAAATGACGATGACTCCTGTTTAAATTCTCCATGGGCAGATAACACTGCTTTGAAAAGACATTTCCACGGAGTAAAAGACATCAAGTGGAGGCCAAGATGAAGTTCTCCAGCTGACGATGCTGTCAGAAATACTAGCTCACCTTTCATTTGAGCAAAATAATACAAACTTAAAAAATAATAATAATAGTAATAGTAGTAAGGTGTTGAATTTCTAGTTTTCTTAATTTTTCTTTCAGTTTGAATGTTTAAGAAAATTATTCAACGTTTCAGAACTTAATAAATACATCCTCAGAAGAATCAGCCTCAATTATTTTTATTTCAAACCAACCATTTAGTATCTGAGGTTTTTCTTTGACTGAGTCCTAAGGATGTAATGACAAACATTTTTGTTTTTCGGACTTCTTTGTTTTATATTCTCACCACCACTGCCTTGGGGCGGAGATGGAGTTCCTCTTCTCCCTGCGAGCCCTGCGTGCGCCGTGGAGCTTGGCCGGCAGTGGCCACTAGAGGCCGCCCGCCACCTGCCGCTCGCTGCTCTGGGCCGACCTGTGGGACCCGCAGCCGGGATCCATCCACAGTGTCTGTGATCGGCCTGAGAGTGGAAGTCACCTGGCATCGCCCAGCCTCCAAGGTAAAGCTCGCCTCCTGGCTGACACCTGACTGGCCTTGCTTTCTAGGTGTACAGGCTACACCCATGATGGAAACCAGGTAACAAGCTTGTCTGACCTGGAAACAAGTTCTGGCATTGCTGGGTTTTTCCTGAAAACGAATGCAAACCCCAGTAACAGATGCTTGTCCCTTGTGGCCTCAGCCTGCAGCTCTCCATGGGCAAGGCTTCCCCTGAGGCTGACAATGGCGTTGGGCTCAGTGACCACCCTCGGTGGTGGGTTTTCTAGGACACCTTTGATTTTATTTTTTTTAATCTTTTTTTTTTAATTATTCATGAGAGAGACAGAGAGAAAGCAAGAGTGGCAGAGACACAGGCAGAGAGAGAAGCAGGCTCCATGCAGGGAGCCCGACGCGGGACTCGATCCCTGGTCTCCAGTATCAGGCCCAGGGCTAAAGGCGGTGCTAAACCACTGAGCCACCCAGGCTGCCCAACACACCTTTGATTTTTAAACCCCAACCCATCATCCCCACAGACCCTGAGACTTGAGTTCAGTTCATCTCTAGGACTGCCTGGGCAGCCAGGGTGGCCTAGAAATCCTGTCCTGCATAGCTTTGGGTCTGTAGGATACCGTTCCCCTAGTTGGAGGACTTGCAGTGTGCTCACCGTGAGGAATTGCGAAGTGACAGGAACTTCCCCTGCTCTGGTCCTCCTGTGCCCACCGCTCCTCTTCCTCCCCCTCGGCCACAGAGATGGGGCTGAGATGGCAAGGGGGGGGTGTGCGGAGAGGATATGCTTTATACCTTCTGGGGGGCAGGGGAGAGCAGGGCTAGTCACTTCCCCCTCTGCCCATCTCCAGCAGCAAGATTCTCCAAGACGCTGCCCCCACCTCAAGGCAAGGATTGGGTCCTTGGCAGAGACTAGCTTCCCAAGAGCAGAAAGGACCTCAAGCATCTATCCAGGTTCTTCTCCCAAAATGTTCAGCCTCCCCACCATTTCCAGTTACTTAGAGCTGCTGCCCCCAAGCTGGCTCCTGAGGTTCCTTCTGTTCCCAAAGCAAAGTTTCCTAAAGTGGGTTGTAGCCCACCCTACATCTTGATTGCACCTTACTCTTCTGTTTGTCAAATTTCATAAAATCAAATCTGTATCTTTTTCCTTTTGACTTTGATTATAATTTTGAGTGTCTCCATGAAGAGTTTTTGTATTGGATGACGTGAAGTTTGCAAGGAGATCCTATGATTTTATTTGAGGAGCGTCCTGCCTTTGACAATGTATAGCTCATGTGCCTTGCATCGGTGCCAGACTTGCAAAAAATGTTAGCAAGCCACACAATCATAGTAGATCCTTCCAAGAACTACTGTTCTACATCATTAGGAATTCTTATTGACTCGATGGGATATAAATGCTTTAGTGGCCATGATAATTACTCTATGGCTTCACATAATCCAAATTATTAGCCAAAGAGTCACTCACTTTGGGGTATAGAAATCACTAGACTTCTACATCACACTACACTTCTGTGTTGGATACTCATGTTAAAAAGAACACTCCTCTCTGCCCTTCGCTGCTTCAATAGCTCCAGGCTCTCTATTCAGACAGAGCAGCCCCTTGGCAGCTGTCCATAAAGCAAGGGGGCTGTCAGTCACTGGTGCCCACTCTGTGCCCACCGTGTTGATGTGGAGTTAGTCACTGTGCATCACCCACCGCGGAGGCTGGCGGTCATCTGAGACAGCGACCTGAGTCCTCCTTTGTCACGTTCCTAGTGAGGGCGGAGCCGAGGGGTCATACTCAGGACTTGCTCAGGAATCAGTTTATCAGCAAGTCACCTGGCCAGACAGGAGGTTACAGACCACCCTACAAACTCAATCTTGCTATTACTTTTTTTTTTTTTAACCCATCTTCAGATCAGTATCCAAAGGAAACGAAGAGCCTATTGACTGTGCAATGCTAAGCTGGGCCCATAATTTTGTCCTTTTACGTAACTTGTGTTCTTATATGGTTATTTCGTGGAGACCAGGAATGCTAGTAATAAAATTTGACACCACCTAAAAACCCTTTGGACTAGCAAACCGAAACCCTGGGCAGTATTTCTGTCACAGGATTACTGCGTTCCTTGGCAACTGCTCTGCAAAGAATGTGCCATCAAGCTTGAAATTAACAGCCACATGCTTAGAGCACAGCGGCCTCGCACACTGTGGAGGTCCCCTGCAAAGCCTCTGAAACCGCCCCCACCACGCTGTGATGGCCAGGAGGTCCCTGGGGTCGTCACTCCATGTTGCAGAAAGCTCTACTGGCCTGAGTTCAAGGGGAGAGATGGTGGGACTTCCGGTAGAAGTCCAGTAAGAGACGTCACGGTAATGGTAGCCGCCACTGGTACCCTACTGTTTCCCAGATGCCTACACTAAGTGCTTCACGTACATTTTCTCATTTACACCTCACAACAGCCACATTAGGAAGAAACCAGGATGGTTGTCGTTTCACAAACGAGACCGAAGCCCAGAAAGGTTCATTGGCCCAGGATGTAGGATCTAAAACCCCACCTGCTTGTCCCAGAGTCTGTGTTAGCTCTAACGGGAAGCTTCTATTGACACCTGAAACCAGGGGCTAGTGAGCAGCAGGCCAGGGGCATCCAGGGAACACACATCTGTGCGGGACCTAGCCGAGGGGCCCTCCTGATTGGGCACAGGGCAACCTGCAATTATTTTCATGCCTCAGGCAACAGTTGGGGGACTGTGGGTCCTGAGACTGCTCTGGTTCACCTGTCACTGAAGAGGAGAGATGCCCACACCCACCCTTGATCAAAATGGTATAAGCAAAACAGAAGCTGGACTCCACTCGGAAAACCGCCGCCCCAAACGAAAGGAAGAGTGAGGGGTTATGTCCTGGCTGGAAGACAGACTGCGCACAGGACTCTGGGTCACACCAGAGTGGTGCAGAGGCCAGCAGATGAACAGATTCCCACGGGCCAAGTCCTGGCCCATCATTGCTTTGAATAGATTGAAGTCTGTTCATTCAGACCAAGCAACCAACAGCCACGTCTGTCTTGCTGTTTCCACGACAAGGCAGGATCATCCTGAAACACAAAATGAAAGCACCCAAGAAACCCATACCAGTTTCGTCACCCGAGTCCCCGATCCCATGGCTGGCTATGTTGGCTCAAGGAGAGGCCCACATGCCCTGGGCGCCCCAGCGGCCGCCAGCGCCAGGCTGATGAAGGTGAGAACACACCCGAGCCCTTCGTTCTGTCCCTCCATCTACATCTTCCTGAAATAAGACGAGGCCATGTATGAACCACACGGATGACATGATCATGGTGCAGTAAATGTCCACAGGCCTCCTGGACTCCCTGGCTGCTTATCGCCCCTCCCACCCCAACCCCCCCCCCCCCGCCCCCAACACAGTGGGCAGACACAATAGCAGCATTATTCATTCTTGTGGCTTCTCATTTCTTGTTATCCCATTTGCATTGTGCTGGAATGGATCCCATAGGCTCAGGGCAATTTGGGTTTTAGCGATAAATTTGCAAACTACAAAATGCACTCAGCTCTTTTGATCTGATCTGATTCTTTCGATCTGATCCGAATCCGGTGGTATGACTAAATCACTTATGCTGTAAAGTAAAAGAAATGGAAATAAAACAATTAAGGGCATTGATATGCAAAGCAAAACCGCAAACCGGAGAGCTGCTTTGAGTTTAACTACTAGACCTTCACAAAATGAACTCCGCTCACATGAACACACGTCCACCTCTTCTGGCAACTGTTTCCGGGGCCGGAAAACTCTTGGCATTTCTAGAGGCAATTTACACTGAGTTGACGAAAGAGCTCTCGAGCGGGGATAGCTCTTGATTTTGCCTGGGAAGTAAGTATGATTTACGTGATTGAATATAGGATTTTAATAGCTTTATGCTATAGGGACCCCCTGATTGGTGGACATCTATAGAAGAGAAATGTCACGAATTGATTAGCAAAGATGATTTGGCCCGTGAAAATTTCACCCAAGCTGTCTACATTGGAAGATTGGCCTTGAGCTGAGATGGAGGAAAAGGATAGGAAACCTACCTGGCTTAACAAACAACTTGCTTGGGGTAAAAAACAGAATTTTCAGGGTGTGTGTATCCCCTGTCCTTGTTGAAACACTTAAAAATCTAAGACTGAGAAAGTGTCAGACATTTTTCTTTCTTTCAAAGTGGACTACATTTCCAAAATGCCATTGTCAAAATATAATTTCAAAATTAAGCAAATTCTCTGTAATTTGTAAAATCATAAATTGTATTAGGATGATGACGTGTACATGATTTGTAAAACTATGAATTTTATATATGTATTTTTTAAAGTAAAACCTTCAGGTAAGGGGGACGCCTGGCTGGCTCAGTTGGGAGAGCATGCGATGCTTGATCTCGTGGTCCTGAGTTTGAGCCCCACACTGGGTGTGGAGCCTACTTAAAAAATCTAGGGAGCATTTCTTTAAAAGAGAGGCTGCCTTGAATTTTCCAGAAAGAGGAAAGCTCTGCTGAAAACACTGAACTGTGTCACCAAAACACCTTCCTAGGAGCCCCACATTTAGCTCAGTTCCTCGGTGCTCCCACAGCTACCTGAGAAGGTGATGTCCATGAGGCTGACAGCGAAGCTAGCCTGCGAGTTTTCACTCGGGAGCCACCAGAGTTACAAAGGCAGCCTGTAAGTATATT